TTTTTAAGGAATTAAACCAAGATACTGTTATGTTGATTGGTTGAACGCAAGTTAGTTATATTGCTCAGATTAGTCACTGTAATGTGGTCATGAAGTCAATTCCAATGAAGCTTTCTTTAAATTTTAATTTCAATTTAAATTGTCATCCTAGCTTGAAACTGTTTAATTCACCTATATTTTGTGTTCAATTGATTTTGATAAATAAATTTTAATTGAATAACGTAACACAAAATTCCCGAGGAGAACGATACTTTATTTATCACTGTATTACTTGTAACGATTTGGTATACTTGCCAAAAAGTTATCAATAGTGTCAATGCTAATAATAATTTTCAAAGATTGATTTAGATAAGCATAAGCGATAATGCATATCACAAATCAATCATTAACTTCTCTTTTTTTTTCTTTTTATCAAAATCTAATAAACCAATTGCATATTTAATATGTCTGGCTCATAATTACAATAAGACGAAGATAGATAAAAATGTTATGATAACGATTACAAAGGTTATAAAAGGTAGGAAAACAGTTGTAGTAGTGTTGACTGACTTGGTCTGCGAAACGGTGGTGACGTGAAAGCAAGGGTGGTAGTGAAAATATAAAAAAGAAAAAGAAATATAATCTTGTCCGTATGATTTAGAATCCTAATCTAAAACATTTAAAGTTGTTTGTTCGGATGTCCAGTTGTAATGTTTTCTCTATTTTCCTTGTCTAAGCTGTGGAGGAGGGTGCCTGTGTCATTTGTCAGACAAATATTTATAAATTACAATGAGCTTTGAGTTCAAGTTCAAGTTATTTGTCTCCTTTGTTAGACAAATATTTATAAATTATAATGAGCTTACTGTTAGGTCTGACTCATTAACCACTAATGAATGACAATATTAATTGTCAATAAATGACAATTATTTTCATTGACTCCCCGATAATTATTACTATTAATTACTTTAATGACTCTTTTTATCGATCGGTTCATGAGAGACATCATCGGTCGGCCGACTTTACCGTTCGGTCGACTATGAGCCCATAGTAACATACCGTTCAGTCGATTACGAACCCATAATCACACAAGTTATAAACGAAATTTTCTATCTTTCTATTCTCTGAATTAAACATTTAAAATATTATTTTCTTATTCTTTAAATGTATAATTTAACACGTATTCCTACAACTAATTGCGATTACCTTGTATTTCTCTATTTAATTTAGTAGAACAACACGTTTCATTAAAAACCATGCAAGGATCGTTTAAAAGAAAATGCAAGGAAACCATTTTTAAAAAGAGAAACCATGCGAGTAAAGAAAGGCTCCATCTTCCTCAATCCTCCATAATTTCTTTCTGCACCCGCACAGTCCTATGAAAATGACCTAAATACCCTTAATTAAATAAATACTATAAACCTGAACATTTCCCCTGTCATCATACAAGCGCCAGCACCTCTATTGCTGGAAGAAAACCTACAACGCATTTGCATCTCCATTGCTCGTTGGTGGCCAACGATCTGCATCTCGATATAAACTTGTTGCACCTCCATCAGTGTTTATTTTAAAAAAATAAAAAAATAACTGTAATACTTTAATAGACTTTAAAAAAACTTGTTGCACCTACATGAATTTTTTATTACATGAAAAAAATTGATGTATAAACTTTTTTACAAAACTATAGTTATTATTTAGGAGTTGTAAATTAAATAAGTTCGGTTAAAATAATATGATAATTTATAGTTGTAAAAAGAAATGTAAAAAAAGTAAATTTTTTATTTTATAAATAGTCGATTTTGTAAAATGAACTTAAATTTAAAATTAACTTATAATATGTTAAAAAATTATCTTAAAATCTATTTCAATGACATTTATTGTATTATTTTCTGTTAGACCAAATATCTCCTGTTTTTTTAAGTTATTCGAATTACTCATTGGATCACATCCACTAAGAAGTAGGAAAATTGGAAGAATTTACATATCAAAGGCCAGAAATATCTTTTCGTTATGAAAGAAACTGAGTATTAAAAAACTATGGTAATCAGAATGCAGGAGCATAATAGATCTTCAGTCTCAGTCACGCAATCGATATCTATTTCGTGAATTCGATGATTTGATCCAACCTGAAGTAGCTACTAACTAGTAATAACATGTTCTTCAGGCATCACAACACATAAAAAAAGTGCATAACTTGGCTCTGGTTTAACATAAGTTACCATGAAACTACGATGAGTGTCGATGATATGCTATGAATTATGCTAAAAGAAACATTAACACATAGCTTTTCAGAATTGATATGTCGTGTAAGGCAATAGTTTTACTTGGCACAGGCAATACCATCGTGCACTCCCACTTGTGTTGCAGACTCATTCATCGAAAGTTTTGCACTCTATGGTTTCCGGGTTGTCCTTGCAGTAGGTCTCCAGAGGGTCCGAATCCTTTTCCTTTTGCTTGTCCCTCGCGTCTTTCGCCGCCGCGCTCAGCTCCTCCACCTCGTCCCATGCCGCCACACACTCGCCGCTTGTCGGATCGCCCGCGCACGCTTCCTGCGCGTGCTTTATGCTCTCCTCCACCTTCTCCGATATCTTATCCGGCGCCGCGCGAACGGGTTGGATCCTCAGCACCCGACCCACCTGGACACCACCCGGTCGCATAGGTTGGCGCAGTGGAAGTGCGAATTTTAAGGCGTGCGCATTTTTGGGTGAGCCAGATGCGTTGAACAAAACTCTGGGGCTTGAAAGACTCACACCAGTCATGGTTGCCATTTTTTTTCCCTTCGCTTTCTTCTGTTTCTGTTTCTGTTTCGTGTTCTTTGGGTTTACGATGCAGTCCAAGGAGTAGAACGTGAAGATTATAGCTGTTGGTAGGGAAGATTTGTGTACACATGTTTCTTATCTGGTTCCAACCAATTATGTTCTTCCACGTAGAATCCACAATGTTATAGGAGATTTTTCTCTCAAAATAATCTTTTCAATAAAAACAGTGAGAAATCATTGTGGAAATTGGGTCTGAGAAAAAATTAAGGTTTAATTTGGATCTAACATCTAATAAAGTCACCATTCCATGTTTTTGAGAAAGAAAAAAAAATGTAGAAACTTACTTGTATAATAATAATAACTGTTATCACAGTTATTATTTTTTGTCTTATATGTTTTGACAAATTTAGGGCTTTGGTTTTTGCTTTCAATTTTTATGAAAAAGAAGGGACAATAGCACATCGCTCTATCAATTATTTTCCTTACATTGGTCAAAACAAATTGGTGGTTATGTGTTGGTATTTGTATAAGATGAGGATTATACGATAGATATTATATATATTTTATATATTATATGATATAGAATTTATATTATATATGTGGTGTTTGTTTTTTTTATATTATAATATATATAAACAAATTGTGTTTTACAAATTTGGCTATTAAAAAATGAATAGAAATGACACCGGATTAAAAATAATTAAATTTGATTATTTTAATATTAAATTTTTTTTAATATAAATAATTTTATTATTTTAAAACACTTTATTTATTTAATAAAAAATTTAGTTATTTGAATTTTTTAAAATATTTTTTCCGTATGATTAATTTTTGCAGTGAATTATTCGATTTAGACTTATAAGTTTTTTCGTTTGTACAAGTTAAGTTTTAGTTATTTTTTTAGTCTTTTTCTTTTATCTGTTGTGAGATTTTTTCTACTTACATGCATTTTCTTAGTTCTCTTTATGAGTATATGCTGATTAATGATATTTTATTGTGATGTTTAATATAGAGTATCCTGCTAGTTAGGAGGAATTTAAATGATCAGAGTTTTGTAAGTTATTGGTCAGGTAAGAAAAACTAATTGCATTGTTTTTGTATTGTAAATACCTTAAAATTTGTAATATTATGATTGTGTGGTGAATTAATTGAATAATTAATATGTGTGATATATTTAATTGTGATGGGTTCTTAAATTGCAATAATTGATTATATGATGAATTTTAAGGATGTTGTTTGATTGGATTGTAGATGAGATTTTTGAGTTAGTGAAGACTGTGTAAATTAAATTTGGCATGTTTTTTAATTGTGTTGCTTGTTGGACTGAACTTGCAGGGTTGGATTGAGCTTACAGGGTTGGAATGACATAAATTTACAAAATTATGTTATATCAAATTATGCAGACTCGCTAAGCGAAGTCAAAGTGAGAGAGTTACTGACTTTGTGGTTGCTAAGCGATAATATACTGGTTGGACAACGTCAGAGTCAGATAGCTACTGACTTGATGATCGTTGGGCGAGAATATACCTATTGGGCGAAGCTAAAATCATAAAGTTTATTGATTTGGTAGTAGTTGGGCAAGACAAGCATCACTGAACAGCTTTGTGAAAAATTAAGTATGAAAATTCCAATAATGACTCGTTGAACAAACTATGTGGTCGTTGGGTAAGTGTATTTTTAAATATTACTCATTGAACGAATAAATATTCTCCTTGAACAAAATTAACATAGTATAATTCTATTTATGTGTATTTTTCTGATATGTTTAAGGTGAGTTTATGTGATGTTAAAATGATAACTATTTTATGAAGTTTATTTGTGAATAATTGATAGATTTATGGATAAATATACATGCAAATAATAATGTATAATATTGTAATGATGGTGAATATTATAGACGTAATTTCATGAATCTCGTAGGAATATTTTATAGTAACGTTTAATTAATGTACATATTAATGTAAAAATGAGATGTTAGAGGTTATCTTGTTACTTTAATAACCATTTAACCTCATATAAAAATAAATTTACGAATATGAAATACTCATTGCACTTCTACTAAAATACTTCTCTTTGGACCACTTTGTATTTATTTTTTCTCCTTCTCTCCTTCTGTTTTTTTTTCCTTCTCTATGAGAAGCAAATGGATAATTTGGATCCTTTCTACATTCAGTTACACATCAAAACAACTAAAATTGATAAATTTTTAATTTAAAATATTAATTTGTTATGTAATAAAATCAATAACACATCGAAACGAAATGCACTGAGGCTATTGGTACCGGAAGAGTTACGAACTATGGACATACCGAGACGGCTGAGAGAAAAAAATATCACACAGGAATAGAATTTTTTATTTTATCAATGATGCGACTACACAAACTGTACCATCGCTTCACTCTTCTCCCTTTTTCGCCATTATCGCTCCCTTCCAACCCCTCTCTTCTTCCTCTCGCTCCTCCGCTGCGCCTCACGCTCCTTCTCCGGACCGCTGTGAACTTCGCTTCCATGGCTTCTTCGCGGTTGCGCAATCTAGCGCCTCTCGCAGCTGCGCCTACTGAAGACGCCACTGCCGCCTTTTCTTCCTCTGCCAACGCCGCTACTTCCGCTGATTACGAAGGTTAGCTCAGCACTCATTCCTTCGCCACTGTTTTTGCTGTTGTACCGCAAGACTAGGTGTTGTTGTTTTTTCCTCTTACAGTGTTTCGATTTCGTAAGCGTCGTGCGTTGATGACCTGATACTTATTAATCTATTGATGCATATTCATTCGGTTGATCGTTTACCTGGAGTAAAATTTCAGCTCCTTGATTTTTGGACTACGCTCAATTAAGTTGCCGATGCTGTGAAAATACGAAATTATCATAGCGATCAAAGTAATTGAATGACCGATCGTTAATTCACCATTAACCGTATTAATGAACTTATTTTGGTAGAGTTTAAATATTTTTAGGCTAGTGAACTTTTGTGTGTAGTTCGATGATTTGCCACTTTCTTTTTACTGACTGACGATTGCATAGAGTTTTACACGAACAACGTTTGAGGTGAGCTCCTTAATAATTTGGTATAGGAAGTGAAGAGATTCACTTCATTTTCTGTCGTATACTCCGTAGTCCTTTTGTATTCGAGCTTGACTTAGACATAGTTGTGAAATTCATATTCACATGTATAATATTGTTTGGATTGCTTTACTTATTTCTAGATGCTGACCTTTTATTCTGATTTCCAACACTAGAAGAGTCAACTGTAGGAACAAATTATCGTGTTCCTCCACCTGAGATCAGCAAAATAGTTGATGCTCCACCAGTACCTGCATTGTCATTTTCACCACTCAGGGACAAAATTATCTTTCTCAAGCGAAGAGCTCTACCTCCACTGGCAGAAATAGCAAGGCCGGAGGAAAAGTTGGCTGGTATACGTATTGATGGAAAGTGCAATACTAGGAGTCGCATGTCATTCTACACAGGTATAGGGATCCATCAAATTCTTCCTGATGGCACATTAGGGCCAGAGATAGAGGTGCATGGTTTCCCTGATGGTGCTAAAATAAATTTTGTTTCGTGGTCTCCTGACGGATGTCATTTGTCCTTTAGCATTCGTGTGAAAGAGGAGGATAGTGATAGCAGTAAACTCACAGTGTGGATTGCAGATGTGAAAACAGGGAAAGCCATACAATTGTTTAAGTCACCAAATATACACTTGAATGCAGTTTTTGACAATTATGTTTGGGTAAATAACTCTTCTTTGCTTGTTTGTACCATTCCATCATCACGGGGAGCTCCGCCAAAGAAACCTTTGGTTCCTGCTGGCCCCAAAATTCAATCTAATGAGGAGAAAAACATTGTTCAAGTAAGAACATTCCAGGACTTGCTGAAAGATGAATATGACGAAGATTTGTTTGACTACTATGCCACCTCACAACTTGTTTTAGCTTCTTTGGATGGTTCTGTAAAAGAAATTGGCCCACCAGCTGTTTATACCTCAATGGACCCTTCCCCAGATAATAAGTACATTTTGATTAGTTCAATTCACAGGCCATACTCTTTCATTGTTCCTTGTGGAAGATTTCCAAAGAAGGTAGAGCTTTGGAGTGCTGAGGGAAAATTAATCAGGGAGCTTTGTGATTTGCCCCTTGCCGAGGACATTCCAATTGCATTCAATAGTGTGCGTAAAGGGATGCGCTCCATTAATTGGAGAGCTGATAAGCCTTCAACACTTTACTGGTACTGATCTGAATTTGAATTTATATTTATTGCCGTGGCAGTACATTGTGGACATTAAAATTTATTTTACTTTCCTTTTGTTAGCAATTACTATGCTTGATTGAACTTAAAAAGACATTTTTTTTTAAATATGCACTTGATTTTTTTTTTTTCATTACTTTCTCTCAAAATTTTGTAGTGCTTAAAAATTAAACTTCCCTACTGTGTCTTTTCAGTGTTAAAATTCATTGGCATGCAAATAAAGCATTTACTTTACAAGAACAATCATGCAGGTCTATAGTTAAGAATACCTTTATGCACATTTATTAAATATCCACTTGAGGGCATGGACATGAACTTGATGTACAAACTATATAAGTATTGAATTGTTTAGGTTATTGATTGAGAGTTCAATGGAATAACCTGGATATTTATACACTCCTGATTGGAGGATAATGTACAATCATAGCCTCCCCATCCAAAATAACATGTAT